GGGTGACGTCATCACTATAATCTGCTGAAAGTGACGTCACTTGCAAGCCCAGAATTTGATGGAGAAGGAGTTAGGGGAGTATTACACAATTAACACATCACATAACCCAGCATAATCAGATTATGCTTGATTATCCTCGCGAAAAATTGCCTAATAAATGCGTTTTTTGAAGTTGTTTTTCATAAAATCGCACTGCTATAATCTCAAAACCACACCAAGCGCTTCTGTTGCACACTGCTATAGCAGCCATATTGGTTTTTTGTGCTTTAAAGCGATTTAGTGCCCAAATTCATTTTATCTAAAAAAATCCGCAAAAAATCCTCTGAATTACAAAATCCGATCGTTCAGAAAAAATCCGCAAATCGGATTAAAATCCGCCGATTGGCAACACTGATTTATTTATATTTTTCCATCCCAGACTCTTGATTTTGATTTTTTTTTTTATTTCGACAAATTCAAAAGCTGGAAATAAATTAAAATTGAGGAGGAAAAATTGAAAATTACAGAGAAAATGTGAGAAAAACTGAGAGAAAATTGATATAAGGTACCTGACCCAAATAAGGCCATGTACCTAATAAGGCCAGTGCCCTTTATTGCTTAATGTTGAATCCCACTTCCAAAAATTACAATATTATTAAAAAAGAAATCTATAATGCAAATCAAAAATTATTGCAAGGGTTCCTGGCAACTCCTTATATGTCGAAAAATGGCCAACCACATATTTCATATGTCATGTTATAACTTTGAGGCTGGAACCTAATTAGTTTATACGCGTATTTATAAAGTTAATGGAGCGAATGTAATTTTTACGCGGACATTTATGTATTGAGAAAGCTACAGAGTAAGTTTTTTTATCAATGTAACATGTTCCTAATAAGGCCATGTGAAAAATGTTCTATTGGCCTCACATCACAATGTTTTTTTTAAAGAATGTATCATCCCACATAACAGTGAAAGAACATTCATATTCTCAGAATATTGCCTCAAAGTGCTTTTTGGAATGTTCTTTTAGGAATGTTTAATGAATATTCTAAGAATGTTTCGATTGAAATATTCATTTTTGAACTTTCTATTTATGTAAGTACTGGGAATGTTGCTTCTATGCACCTACCGGAAATATTGTGCTAAGAACCTACTTCATATAACATTATTTGAATATTGTCATACGAACATTATTATAATGTACCTTCAAATACAGGGTGGCCATTTGAAAACCAAACAGAGGTGATTTTGGGTTCCTCAAGAGATTTAAGAAAAAACCCTCGAACCCGTCGATTTTTTATTTAAGGGGGAACAATTTTTTTGGCATTTTCACCACCTGGGGGGCAAAGCCCTAGCTAGGGTGACAAGGGCCCCCAAAATTTTAAATGGAATGAGGGGTCGAGTGATACCTTATTTTGAAGCTATTTTTATGTATATTATAACCCCTAAGTTTCACATCGCTACTATTTACCTAGCCATTACAAGGGCTAATTAAAGCTACAAAAACATGTTGAGATATTTTGTATTTGAAAAAATGCTTTAAAACCAAAACCAATCAAGTAAATGCTGGAAATGACCCCAGAAAAAAAAATCTAACGGGCTTAAATCTGGAGAACCTGGGGGCCACTCAATAGCTCCTCTCCTTCGAATCGATTGTCCTGAAAACATTTGGTCCAAATATTGACGAACCACTGCAGCATAGTGGGGTGGAGCACCATCTTGTTGGAGTATTAGACGGTTTTCCATGTATCCGTTATCATTCTCTAGTATCTCTTCCAATTTTGCATGAATCGCATCTTATACGGTTACCAAAAATGCTAGCCCATACACTCAAATAATCTACATCTCCATAACGCCCTAGAAAGTTCTTTCGCACGTATTATACCTGGAAGTACAGGGCTTTCATTTCAAAACTTGCCACCCACGTTATCTGCGTAAAGAGGCATATTTGCGGAAATCGCCAAAACACGTCAACAAATTTATTGAGGGGGGAGGTTTTTCACGTAAAACTGGACTTCGCCCCTCCAACCCTCTAAGCCCTAGGGCTACCTCCCCAAAATTTTTGAATGAAACACTAACTCGACCCCCTGTTTTATTCAAAAATTTTGGGAAGGTAGCCCTAGGGCTTAGAGGGTTGAAGGGGCGAAGTCCAGTTTTACATAAAAACCCTTCCCCTTCAATACAGTTGACGGGTTTTGGCGATTTCTGCAAATATGCCTCTTTACGCAGATAACGTGGGTGGCAATTTTTGAAATGGAAGCCCTGTATTTCCAGGTATAATACGTGCGAAATAACGTCCTAGGGCGTTATGGAAATGTAGATTACTTGAGCGTTTGAGCTAGTATTTTGGGTAACCGTGGTCCCTCTTTTACCTATAAATTTAACAGGAGAAATGTACCCAGAGTGGTTAGAAGATGCGATTCATCCAGAATTGGTGGAGATACTAGAGAATGATAACGGATACATGGAAAACCGTCTAATATTTCAACAAGATGGTGCGCCACCCCACTATGCTGCAATGATTTGTCAATATTTGGACCAAACGTTTCCAGGACAATCGATTCGAAGAAGACGAGCTATTGAGTGGCCCCCACGTTCTCCAGATTTAAGCCCGTTAGATTTTTTTTCTGGGATCATTTTCAGCATTTACTTGATTGTTTTTGGTTTTAAAGCATTTTTTCAAATACAAAATATCCCAACATGTTTTTGTAGCTTTAATTAGCCCCTGTAATGGCTAGGTAAATAGTAACGATGTGAAACTGAGGGGTTATAATCTACATAAAAATAGCTTCAAAATAAGGTATCACTCGACCACTCATTCCATTTAAAATTTCGGGGGCCCTTGTCACCCCAGCCAGGGCTTTGCCCCCCAGGTGGTTAAAATGCCAAAAAAATGGTTCCCCCTCAAATCAAAAATCGACGGGTTCGAGGGTTTTTTCTTAAATCTCTTCAGGAGCCCAAAATCACCTCTGTTTCGTTTTCAATTGGCCACCCTGTATGTTCTTTCGGATGATATATCTATCAAGTATTAAGAATATACCTACCAAGTTGTGCTGAGAAGTTTATGTAGGTAGGTAACCATGATAAGAATATTTTCATATTGTTCACCTAATTATCTAAAGTAGGTACTCAAAAATCTTGATTGAACAATTAGACAATAATGCTCTATTATCTAGAACCTACTAAGAATATTATAGGTATATTCTTTTTTTTTGCTTTGTAGGACTTCCAAGAGAGGGAGCCACGCGCTATTAAAGATCTACATCTTGCCTCGCGTTTGAACCACCTTGGAACCTGTTTCTCTCAGTTGGCGTGCTTTGACGAGAGCATAACAAGCTCGAAACCGGAGCTTTGGTTAAATACTTGTGTTTTCCAGAGAAGTTTTCCAACAACTCTTTCACTGCCTTTAATATAAAAGGGCTGAAAGGGGCATTATTATTCCAAGTAAGTATATCCTTAGAATATTATGTCTAGGATGCATATTGAGAATGATATATGTAGATATATTCTAAGAATATTTCAAGCATATTGATATAATATTCTTTTGAGAACATAACTATGATGTTATAGAAACATTCTTTGAATGTGAGAATATACATTTCGAGCATATTTTAAGAATCAAACAGGAATATTCTTTTCAGGATGTACTGAGAATCTCATAGGTGTATTCTAGGAATATCCTAATGGATTTCCCAGGAAGTTCTTGGGTATTGCAAACAGTATTTCTACAATCTTTTCTCAGAACATTCTCAGGACATTCGCAATGGTTTTGGCGAACATTCTAGGCACATTCCTCCTGAAAAAAGAACATTCTTAATACATTCTAAGGATGCAATTTTGTTATGTGGGATATTATTACCTGAGTGATGTTTTTTGAAATGTCTGGAGTCTAACCAAGCAAGATAGGCTGCGGTTCTTTTGTTCTAGTTGTATGTAGACCTATTTGGATCACCATCCCAGGACTTGGAATTATTGTTTTTTTAGGAATGCGACAATCATATAAGTTCTATTTTGTGTACTATTAACTATTTCTCAAATAATAATATTTTTATAAATAATTGTATTTATTTTAAACATTTTTTTTTAATGGTGGCCTTATTAGGAGCATAGTGATCCAAATAAGGCCAATGGTATGCATCTTTGTTTTACGCAAAAACCATCACTTAAATAGAAAAATAAAAAAATTGGAGTTAATATTCAAGTAATAGAAGCGAAACACTTCACATATAACCTCGTGTTTTTTCTTGGGTTTGGTCGTTTGGTGGATAATGTTAGGAAAAAATAAAACTTCTTAACATGGCCTTATTTGGGACAGGTACCTACCTTAATACTAAAAAGACATTTATATTTTTTTAGTTACTATCCCAGGCTTTTGAATTTTCTCCATTTCGACGAATTCAAGAGCAGGGAATAGACAAAAAGTGAGAAATAAAGAAGAAATGGATGGAAAATTGAGCTGGAAAAATTGAGAAATACAAAGAATTATAAAGATTTTAAAAGAAATTCAGATTTTGGAAGAAAATGAAAACTCAAAAACCAAAAATAGACACGGAAAAATTGAAAAATAGAAAGAAATATTTTAGAATAATTAATTATGGAAAAAACGGGGACTACGAAATCCAAGAAGCTGCTTCTGCTTCTACTTCTAATTCCAGGCAGTCGAATTGCCTCCATAGCTAACTATAAATAAATAAATATCGATAAGAAACCTCTAATTCTAAACCCTACAAATAAGTTATGCGAAATTTGAAAATGACTGTAGAATATTACAAATCTGATTTGCCGCCTATTGGAAAATTTCTTGTTAGCATCTGTAGTGACGTCATCATCGAGGCAAACGGCTCGCTATAAGCGAAGCGAGGCTGTGCCGAAGAATATTCGTCCTTCTCTTTCTCTAACCATTGAAAAAAGACCGCGATATAAAATCAATTGACATTTCTTTTTCCGAAACAGTAAACAACGGAGTGAAAATCTAACCTCAAACTTTTATTATTTTCGTTTTTCGTGACAAGCTAATTTTTCAAGTTAATAATTATCGTTTTTAAACTCGAATAATACACGATGGCGGGCGCTTCAATTTTCGGCTGGGACTTGATATTCTCCAGCGTCGAAAAAGACATAAAAAACAAACAAGACGTCCTCGTCTGTCTCACGCATTTGGTCCTAATTTCCAACGGATTCAAATGCATCGGCTTGGGCGAAAGCAAAACCTTCGAGGGCACCGAAAAACAAAGCGAATCCCTACCGGAAAACTGGAACAAAGACCACACCATAAGGTACGTCCACCAAGGAAAATTGTATCATTTTAGAACGACTAGGGTCGACGATTCGGTGATTTTGAACCTGGTCAGAGTGGACGAACGTAACGTCGGTAGTGTCCAACTGAACATCCGTCAGGTGGCTCAACAAAGTGGGAGCCTGGACACGATGGTGCCGGACAATAAGAAAATCGTCGAGCTGATTAAAAGTGGGATGATTGACAAGGTTGTTGCGTCGTCAAAGAACAGAAGCGCTAGCAGTCAAACTGAGCCACCGCCGGAGAGAAGTAGCAGAGTTCTTGGAGAAGATCCACTACCAACACCAAGCCCTGGAGTACCTTGGAGAGGACCAGGACCCTTGCCAGGGCCAGAGGTAAGATAAGAAAACTTTACTTTCTATATTATTTTAGAGGTTTGCTAACCAACCAGTACTTATACTCTCAATTATTCAAAATTAGTTTCAACTTCAAACTATCAATATCAAGCAGTTTTTTTTTTCGTATAGCTCTTGTGCGCCTATTTGTTAGTCCCCTTCGACGAAATAAGGTTTGATATGTTTATCTTCAATAGCTATAAGGGCGAGTATAAGGGGAAAACGTGAAAACGCCTTCCAAGGTCCCATGTTGAAAAAAAAAGAAAAATTATACCATTGAAGCTTTGGAGAGAATATTTAACATAAACAGTTTATTCTTCAAATGTTCCTTTATTTACAAGGTTGAATATATTATGTATTAATAAATAAAGATATTAGGTTATTATTATTCAAAAAATAACTTTTTCTACAAACGTCACTAAAAGTGTCATTTTTAACGGATGCTGTCAGTGTCTAAAATGCCATTTTATGACACTGGTGTTAAAAGTGATTACTTTTAGCACTAGTGCTAAAAGTAATCACTTCTAGCACTGATCAGAAAATATAAAAACATAGGAAATTTTATATCAAAGTAAAATATTTATTTAATTAAATTAAAATTAGCGAAACTGCAATTAGAATAAGAAACTCCATGGCCAATCTCATTGGTAGCAAATACTGAATTTATTTTGGTAAAACTTGTACCAGGAGAGTAAAGAGCAATGTTATTCTCCGAACTTTTGGGCAGAATTTGATCCGCAATGTTCTTTTGTATGAAAACTCGTACTGTTGCTTTGACTTGCTAGGCAATAATTCGAAAGTAGCTTTATTGGCAGCTTCTTCAATTTCCGCCGGGAGAAATTCATTGTCTTGATCACTTTCCATCGCCCAGAAAATAAACTACAATGAAACTGGATGAAACCGCGCAAAAACCAAAAATTGTGCAGAAACCGTAAGCAAAAATTCGTGATTATTTGACGTTATTAATCAACAATGACAAACAGAGATGACAAATAAAAATAAACAAATTCGTTTTTTTTTCTTGCCAGCAACCTATTTCATAAATAAATTAGATGAAAGATTTGAAATTGAGGATTTCAAGGATGCGTTAATTTGGACTTTTAAACAGTGTTTGTAGAAAAAATAGTGTATGATATTCGTGCTAAAAGTGATTTTATTTTGTTCAAAGGTATGGAACACTCCGCCTTCGGCGTCGTGTCCCAAACTTCCCTTTTCACAAAATAAAATGTCACTTTTAGCACTTATATCATAAATAACTATTAACAACCTGCAAACTATCACTCCATTTTTAAGGTTTAAAGTCAACTCCAAGGTCAACCCCTATTTTCTGAACATTGCATCCAAAAATTCCAAAAAAAAAATATGTTTTATAGTTATTGATATACTTCAATCCATAACTTTTTTAAGCAAATTTAACTCGGCATTTTTGAGTTATATCGCAAATACTGAGAAAAAGTGGTTTTTCACCATTTAGGTATTTCAAAACAAATGGATGAAATTTCCAGTTATTTTTATTACAAACTACTATTGCAATTCTACGCGACATATTTTTTATTCAAATTTTTTGAACGTGTAGTTTTTTCGCTACTGCAAAAATAGTTGGAAATACGCCTGTAGCTACACCGTTTAAAAAAAATCCGACAGTTTATGTAAAACAGAATAATACTTTGAATTTTTGGCAAAAAAAAAGAAATAACGTTCCATCACACAATTTAACCAAATGAAGATTTCTATTTTTTTTTTACTATCAAGTTAGGACACAGTGTAGGGGCGACAGCATTGAAATCTCGCATTGTACTGAACTAGTCCCTTAATTATTCTATTAAGGTATGTAGATGCTGGATGCTGGATGCTGGAAATGACCACCATTCGTTTCCACACATGTCACATATGCAGTCAATTACGATTTTTTAATTTATTTACAGCTTTTGTAATCCAGTCAGTATAGGTATTATACCATATTATTTATATTTATATTATTAGATAGATAGATAGATAGATGTTTATTTCCAAGGATCACATACAGGATATAGGAAAATATTTACAGATAAAATTTGCATTACATACTAATCAATAACGTAACATTATAAATAATTAAATACCTATTTATAACAATAAGCATAAGAATAATCAAATAATATACCTATTACAATTTTTATGAAGTATTCTTTCATATCTTCCACTGCGTAAAGTTTAGAAACTCCTCCACTGTATAGAATGCATTTTCCAATAAAATATTTTTAATAAAACATAAGAACTCATTCTGATTTAATTGACGTTTGCTAATAGGTATCTTGTTATACAAAATAGCCCCTATGTAGTAAGGATTTGCTTTGTAAAGCTCAAGACGATGAACGTCATATTGATAATCAAGTCCAAATCTAGTTGTGTAATCATGATGCAGATTTAGAGCTTTAAAAGCATTTGAGTTATCCCTTACAAATTTCAAGATTTCGAAAATGTATAAACAAGGCATAGTCATGATTTTTTCAGAAATAAATTTTTGTCTACAAGATTCCCTAAACTTCATATTATACATTAATCGAATAGCCCTTTTTTGCATTATAAAGACTCTCTGTGAAGCAGAGGTTGCACCCCAAAGCACAATCCCATATCTAATACATGATTCAATAATTGAAAAATAAAACATTCTTACAGTGCTTCTACTTGTTATTTGAGACAGACGATATAAAGCAAAACAACTCTTTGCACACTTATTGCATACATAATTTATCTGCTCTCTCCAGTTTAATGACATGTCAACATGGATACCCAAAAGTTTCACAGTATTAACCTGCCTTATTGATCTGCCATTCAAGAGAATGTATTGACTTTTATTGTAATTTGCCTCATAAGGATGAAATTGCATTGTGTAAGTCTTTGCCTGGTTAAGCACCAGTTTATTATTACAAAAATAATTAGATAAAAAATGCAGGTTATCTGTCAAACCCTTTTTCATAATTTGTTCATTGAGATCAGAAGATAAAAGTGTAATATCATCAGCAAATTCACAATGCAAAGTTGTCAAGATATCCGATATATCATTCACGTACATGAGAAATAGGAGGGGACCAAGAACACTACCCTGTGGTACACCAACCTCAACATTTAACTGGTCAGACATAGCTCCATTACATTGCACATATTGTTTACGATTACAGAGATATGATTTTAATAATGAGTAACAGTTACCACGAATTCCGTAGGATTGAAGTTTTTGCAAAAGCAGGCCGTGGTCCACACAGTCAAAAGCTTTAGTTAAGTCCACAAATAGTGCCATAACTTTCTTGCTTTTGTCTAGATTTTTATAGACATTATCTAAAATATAACATAGTGCAGAAATAGTCGATCTTTTGTCGCGGAAACCATGCTGGGTATTTGATATTAGATTATTTGAATTTAAAAAGTTTAAAATGCGTTTAGATATAATTTTTTCAAATATTTTTGAGAATGTTGATAAAAGCGATATAGGGCGATAGTTTCCCATATCATTTGTATTATCTTTTTTATGCAAGCAGATAACTTTAGATACTTTCAAACAGTCTGGAAATGTTGCCTCTGAAAAACACAAGTTTAGAAGAGAGCAAAGGGGTTTACATAGTTGATCTTTACAGCTTTTAATTAAAGATGATGAGAATTCATCAGGGCCGGTTGAGTTTGTATTTTTTAAATTATTAATTGCTTGCATCATTTCAGTCTCTGAAACATTGTGTAAGAAAATGGTACTCTCAATCCTAGATACAACATTGTGCTGGGGTATTCTATTTATATTCTGATTTTCTTGGATTTTCAAGGGTATATTAATGAAAAAGGAATTAAAGAGGTTTGCAATTTGACTAGGATTTTTGTATTCAATATCATTACAGATAATACTTTCAATTTCAACTTTCTTCTGACTTTTTGTTGTAGAATTTATAATGTCCCAGACGGTTTTTGATTTGTTTGTGGATAAGGACAACTTGTTATCATAATACATACGTTTAGCTAGCTTTAAAGTTCTTCTGTAAATATTTTTATACTGTTTGTAAAATTCTGGAGAGAGTTCTCCTTTTAGTTGTTTATAAAAAAGTTTTTTCAGATTTTTTGAGGAAGTACGTATACCTAATGAGATCCATTGTTTATTGGTGTTATAGTTTGTTACTTTCATTTTTACCAGAGGGAAACAAATGTTAAAGTAACTTTGCAAGGTATTAGTAAAATAAATCATGCTGTCATTGACATTACCATTACCCTCAACCAAAACATCCCAAGAGTGTACATTTAATAATTGTCTAAAATATGCCTTGTTTCTTTCCGAAAAAGCTCTTTTTAGGGTGGTGGTAGGAGTTGCATTCGAGATAACGTGAAGACTAATTAGTTGAAAGGTATGGTCAGATAGGCCATTCTCAGAAACTTTTTTATCTAGTAGAAGGGAGTTTATATTTGTACATATATAATCAATGGCAGTGGATGAGTTTCTGCCTACACGAGTAGGTACATTAAACACTGGAATAATATTGAAAGAATTTAAAATGTCTAGAAGTTGAAACTTATCTGAGTTATCCTGGAATAAATTAATATTAAAATCACCAGTTATAATAGTACGACTATAAGGAAAGATCCTGGTTAGGTGCTCTAGGCACAGCTCAAGTTGTACAAAGAAACTAGCCTTTTGGGATAGTGGAGACCTGTATATACATAGGATATTGGTTTTAATATTCTCTGTGTAAATCTGTATGCCGGTGCACTCAAAAATCAGCTCAATACAGAACGCAGAAACCAAGTCAATGCAGGAGAAACTGGTGCCATTTTTCACCAGGATTGAGACACCCCCGTGCCTGTTTTGGGTCCGATTAAAGTAACTAGCAGTATGGTAACCAGATATATTCAAACTGTCCATCTCTGAGCCAACACTCCAACTTTCTGACATGCACATAATGTCTATTTCTTCCTCCATCAAAAACACCTCCACTTCATCCACCTTGTTTCTGAGACATTGTATATTCTGGTGTGCTAGACGTAACACAATATTTCCTGAACTTTCTGAATGATTCAAGCTAAAAAATCTCCTCCTGGTTTGTACTTCAAAAACAGGCTGTGGTTGAAGCGCCTGATTCCAACATTTTGTGGCCAGAAATCTGGTTCATAAAGTTTATCTTTGTGGTTTAACGGTGCTGTCAATACAAAGGATTTCAATCTTGTAGGATCACTTGGTAACTCTTTCACTGAAATTTTCAAGTTTTCAAAACCCGGCTGCTTTGTAACATAGTCTTCAATTTGTTGTGATGTAACATGGCGTTTTATTCTATACAGATAAATCCAGGCTCTCCTGTCACCACCCATGAAACTATCTGCTTCCTGTCCAGTACCCACATTTCTTGTGCCTAACCTCTTTTTCTGTGGTCTCCGCTGAACAACTTTGAAACCGTCATCACTTTTTTCTTCATCCAACGAAAATTGGGTTTCCCTACGTAAGTTATTTAGAGCATTTGCAGTGGTGTTCATATCACTTTCCAGATTTATGATTTGTTGTAATTTATTTTTGTGACCTTTAACCATTGTTTGATAGTTTTGATTTGTACCTTTGGGAAAATCAATTTTATTGGATTTTTCGTGATTTGGAAGCTGTCCCTTTGTAGTTTGGGGTTTAGAATTTGCAGCAGACTGAGATTTGGGCTCGAGAATGCTGGAATAAGATGGTTTGTTTACTTGTGGGTTTACTTTGAGGTTATCAATTTTCTCCAATAGCAGCGCATTGTTTTGTTTAAGCACATTACTTTTATCCGCTAATTCATCCAGCATCCTCTTCAGGTACTGAATTTCCATAGTCATTTTGGAAACTTCCATTTTATGCAATTCATCATGTTTTTTGAGGTTAGAATCTTGACGTTGGCAACACTCGATTTTTGTATCATCAATTTTGGTCTTAATTTTACCCAGTCTCTTCACACAACTATTATGGTAGATGGAAAAACAATTTATGCATACGCATACACTACAACTTTTCTTCGAGCAGCACTTAAAACCACCCAAATTTGCATCTTTTACGCTCGTTTCAGAATCACCGTCTGACTCGCCCGCCATGTTACCTAATTATTAATTGCTGCCCTAATTTCTTCTTTAATTATGTCACTTTTTCATCTCGTCTGAAAAATATTCTACTTTTCAAATATCCCCATAAAAAATTATCTAATACAGAGAGATCTGGACTATTAGCGGGCCATGGTTCTGTTTTTTCCAACCCACATGGGATATTTATTATATAAATAATCTCTCTAACTGGTGTGACATTATTGTGCAGTGGCACTTCATCTTGTTGCCATATTATTTCTACATCAATAAGTGGCATGTTATCAAAGCATTCTTCCACATGTTTTCTTGAAATTCTTAAATAAAGGTTGACAGTTATAGTTATAGGACTGATAATTTTATCATTTCTTTATGCCGCACCAAACATTATTTTATCAAACAACGCCCGGAGTGTTTAATTTCCAAATATTTTCTAGGGTTTTAGGTTTTTTTTGGTCCAATAGTGTAATTTTTTTTTTTTTCGATTTGGAATGCCTGCTGTTGTAAATGATGACTCGAGTGACAACTCGTCTGTCTATAAAATTTTGAAAAAAAAATGTGGGTCATCATGTTCCAAAATTTCAAAATGCATGTGCTGTCCTGTCTTTGAGCTTTATTTTTTTTCTGATAAACGTTAGACTTTAGTAAATTTAAACGCATGGAATTTATTATTTTTCAAAACAGTCCAAATTTTGCAGTAGCTTTTCCCCAAATCCTGAAATTGGTGTGAAGTTAACAGCCAAAACTCAGCAGCTAATTTTATGGAAACACCCGAGCGACCATTGGCGTAGCATTTTTTTTTTTTAATTCAAAATAAATTCAATAAATCATACTTAGACATCGACTCTAGCCATGAAATTGATAGAGCACTATTTCAACACCTTCTCCAGGCCCTATGCAAAATCCCGAGCAAAATCCTATTGACTCGAACCCCTTCGATATATGAAAAACTACCCTTAATAAATAAAAATGAATAAACATTGAGATTTCGTATTTTTTTCCAGCTTGGACTTCGAGTCTTGCCATGAAATTATTAGGTTACTATTTCAACATCATTTTTAACCCCCATGCAGAATCCCATTTACTCAAACCCCGTCGAAATATAAAAAACTACCCTTAACAAATAAAAATGCCTAAAAATTAAGATTTTTGTATTTTTTTCTAACTCGGATTTCGAGTCTTGCCATGAAAGTAATAGGGTACTATTCTAACACCATTTCCAACCACCACGCACCATGAAAAACTACCCTTAACAAATACAAATGCATAAACATACAGGTTTTTGTATTTTTTTCCAACTTGGACTTCGTCTTGCGATGAAATTGATAGAGTACTATTTTAACATCATTTGCAACCCCTATGCAAAATCTCAATAACTCATACCCCGTCGGAATATGAAAAACTATCCTTTACAAGTAAAAATATGAAAATATTGAGATTTTCGTATGTTTTTCCAACTCGGACTTCGAGTCTTGCCATGAAATCAATAGGATACTATTCTAATACCATTTCCAACCCCCATGCAAAATCCCATTGACTCAAACCCCGTCGGAATATGAAAAACTACCCTTAACAAGTAAAAATGCATAAATATTCAGATTTTCGTATTTTTTTTCAACTCAGACTTCGAGTCTTGCCAAGAAATTAATAGGGTACTATTCTTACATCATTTCCAACCGCCATGCAAAATCTCATTGACTCAAACCCCGTCGAAATATGAAAAACTAGCCTCGAAGGTAAAAATGCATAAATATATTAGGATTTTTGTATTTTTTTCCAACTTGGACTTCGAGTCTTGTCATGAAATATCGAGGTAGGTACATACGTTTCCTCTTTTCTTTTCTTCACTTTCATTTTACTCATTTTAGTTTTGTTATTCGCAGAAAACTACTATGCAAAATATTAAGAAAATCGTTTTTTCGATTTGTGATAGGATAGGAAATGTGCCTTCAGTCAAGAAACTTATACAGTGGTATCAGCAAAATGAAATAAATTGGATAATAAATAAATGGGACACGTCGATTTTGTTTTTTTGCTCAAGATTTTTTCACGCCATTTTTTTTAAATACAGAACAGCTGTACCATTATCAAATTGATTTTTTCTCCAAACGTCAAAAAAACGCCACTTTGTTAACCTCTGTCAAGATGTCAGAAATTTAATTTCTATGCTGGTAGGCAAATCCAGCAGGTTAACACCTGTCGAGGTGGTAGAAATTCAATTTTTCTCCAAACGTCAAAAAAACCTCACTTTGTTAACGCCTGTCAAGATGTCAGAAATTTAATTTCTATGCTGCTAGGAAAATTCAGCGGGTTAACACCTGTCAAGGTGGTAGAAATTTAATTTCTATGCTGCTAGGCAACCGCAGCGGCAGTAGAAGTACTTTTAGTGCCTCTGGAGCGGCAGCAAAAGTACTTTTAGTGCCGCTCGTACTTTTACTGCCGCTCAACCATCCAGTTACCCCCGAGCTTACCCCATTCGTTTGGAGAAAAAATAGCGTGTTGCATACGGACTAGAAGCACTTTTTTGTGCTTCAGCAGTACTGCAAGCCTCACTACGTTCGGCTCGCAAACCTACTGCTTCAGCACAAAAAAGTAAAGCTTCTACTCCTTATACAACAATATACTATTCTATGCTGCTTGGCAACCCCAGCGGCAGCAAAAGTACTTTTACTGCCGCTTAACCATTCAGTTACCCCCGAGCTTACCCCATTTGTTTGGAGAAAAAATAGCGTGTTGCATACGGAGTAGAAGCACTTGTTTGTGCTTCAGTATTGCAAGCCTCACTACGTTCGGCTCGCAAACCTACTGCTTCAGCACAAAAAAAAGAAGCTTCTACTCCTAATACAACAATATACTATTTTTAAATAGCACCCCTTGTATATTATGATATTTCTGGATTCTAAGGAAAATTCTAGACATATTTCATGTATATTCATGGATTTTTTTTGCTGTTGTCATCAATTTTTGTCTTTTATTTTTCTTTCTTTTGCTGATTTTGCTAACATGTCTGGTCGGAGAGGAGCATTCAAATGCTGTGCCAAGGATTTTAATAATTTTATCTGTATTATATGCGATAATATTTTTCACCCTAGCTGTCTTGGGCGAAAAAGCTCAGTAACAAGGTTGACTGGGTTTAAAGTAATTTGCTCAGAAGCTTGTCAAGTCCAGCAGCAGTTGGACGAAGAAAAGGAGAGCGAATTTAGAAAGGAAGTGGAAAGACTGGAGACTGAGATTCGCGATAGGGACACATACATCAAAAGGCTGAGAAGATCTTCAGAGGTCCTGGAAGTGGATATTGCAGGATGTGAGCAGAAATACGTCGATACCATTGAACAACAGAGATGTCATATGGTTGAGTTAAGAGAAGAACTTAAAAATCTACAGGAACTGAATGCAAACCTTGGGCAGGATATTGAAGATAAACAACAGCGGATTTTTGACTTAGGGAGGGATTCAGAGGAGATGAATGAGATGCAAAAGAGTATGATTCGATCAATTCAAAGTTTGGAAGCTGAGAATATTCTCCTAAAGGAGGATCTCAGTAGATGGAAGTTGGGGATGAGTGACGCGCCGGTAAAGGAAACAGCTTCTGTAATGGTTCAGACTGAAGCTGAGGACAGGGCTGACAATACTATCCACCCTGGCATAACTATTCCTGACTCTTGTACACAGGAGAGTAAAAAAGTTTTTATTGACGGTGAGCCAACCGGCTTATATCAATCATCAGCTTCAAAGGAGAATGCACAGCAGAGGGAAACCAAGAACAGGATATTGATAGTGACGGATGGTTTTGGGCGGTTGATATATGATTACCTGGTTGAGGATAGTGGTCTGAGGGATAACTACCAAATTCAGGTTGTGTGTAAGCCAGGAGCGACATTTAGGGCCATTGCTACTAGTTATCAGTGCTATATTGAGGACTTTAATGATAAAGACTTTGTCGTTCTTTTGGTAGGCCCCACAATCAAGGGAATTAACAAACACAACATCAACCTATTTGCTAAAAAATGTTTCCAAACCAACCTATTGGTATGTACTACTCCAACAGGTATCAACAGATATGTTTCATGTCCACATAATATAGAATTAGGTAATTTAGTTTGTAAGCTTTCTAGATATAATCATAACGTCAGCCTATTGTCATCAAACGGATCATTTGATAGCTATAAGTATTGGAATTTGTCACCTTATTTAACAAAAACAGGATTGTATAAGTTGGCAAAAAAGATAGGGGAAGGAGTTTTAAATTTTAGAGTTGCAGCTAGATCCAACTTGATTCTTGTCTCTGGCAGAGTGAGGTCAAGTAGTGTGAATGAGCGGAGAGAGCTACAGGAGAATGGGGTGAATGGTGAACAGGAGTGCTATAAGGGGTGTGAAATGATCAATAATTTTGATACATTGGACAGGGTAGAGTCTGATTCATATCAGCAGGACTTGGAAAATAAACGTGAAGACTCAATTTTTTTAGGCGCGGGCTTAACTCGGACAGCTTCTCTCTAGTCCTTCTGAATGTGCAGTCTCTTCGCAATAAAGTGGATGAACTTCTGGTTTTTTTGGATCATTTACGAAATCCAGACTTAGTATTGCTCTGTGAGCATTGGCTTAGGCCCAATGAGCCAGTTCATTTGCCAAATTATACTGTATTGAGTAGCTATTGTCGACCTACTGTGCAGCATGGAGGGACAATGTTTTTTATTAGGGACGAGTTTTTGGAATTGTGGTGTTTTGTTAATGTAGATAGATTTGACTATTTGTTGGAGGAAAGGGAATTTGAGTTTTCTATGATTTTCTGTAAAGAACTCAATCTCTATGTTTTGTGCATGTATCGCTCTCCGAGCAGTTTTTTAGGCGATTTTTTGATCAAACTTGAGATTTTATTGTTGGGTTTGGAATCAACTTCTACCATTATTTTGTGTGGTGATCTTAATGTAAACTTTTTGGAGCCAATGAATCCTAATACGGTTTTATTATCTGATCTCTTGTCCTCTTTTGACCTTAACTTAATTGTTGAGAAT